TGCAAGTCAATAAATGTGATACATCATTTCAACAGAATGAAGGATGAAAATTACATAATTATCTCAACAAATGAAGAAAAGGCACACCACAAAAATCACTAAATTTTCTAATACAAACTCTCAACAAATTAGGTATAGAGAAATGTACCTCAACATAATAAAAGCCATATAGACATGCTCACAGCTAACTTCATATTCAACAGTAAAAAGCTGAAAGCTTTTCCTCTAAATCAGGAACAAGACAAAAATGCTCATTCTCACCACATCTATTCAATAAAGAACTGGAAGACTTAGAGGAATTAAGCAACAAACAGAAATAAAAGGCATCCAAATTAGAAAGGAGAAAATTAAAAAGTCTGTGTTTGAAGATTGCTTAATTTTATATAGAGAAAACCCTAAGGATTCTACCAAAACCCAGTTAGAATAAGCAAACAAGTTGAGTGAAGTTACAAGACACAAAATTAACATACAAAAATCAATTGCATTTTTATACATTAGCAACAAACCATTTGATGAAAAATTAGGAAAGCAATCCCATTTCAATAACATCGAAAAATAAATAAATAAAACACTTAGGAATACATTTAACCAAGGAGGTGAAAGATGTACACTAAAATGAAATATTAATTTAACAATTGAAGACACAAATAAATGAAAAGATACTGCTATGATTACTAATTTGAAGAAATCATCTTGTTAAAGTGTCCAAATCACACAAAGCAATCTACTGATTCAGTGCAATTCTTATCAAAATTCTTATTCCATCTTTTTTTACAGAAATAAAAAAATCCTAAAATTCATAGGGAACCACAAACACTCCAAATAGTCAAAACAATCTTGATTAAAAAGAACAAAACTGAAGGCATCATAGTACCTGATTTCAAAATATACAACAAAACTATAGTAATTAAAACAGCATAAAAACAGACATATAGATCAATGAAACAGAATAGAAAGCTTAGGAATAAATGACTGTATTAGTTTGTTTAGTGCTGTTAAAACAGAATACCTGAGACTGGGAAATTTACAAAGAAAATATTATTTGGCTCACAGTTCTGACGATTGGAAAGTTCAAGACTGGGCATCTGCATCTGGAAGGGTCTCTGGCTACTTCAAATCTTGGCAGAAAGTAGAAGGGGAACCTGCATTTGCAAAGAGATCACATGGCCAGAAGGGAAGCAAGAGAGAGAAACCAAGGAAGCCAGATGCTTTTTAACAACCTGCTCTCTAAGCCATTAAGCCATTCCCTTGAGCACAAGAACTCCCTCCCTCCAGAGGACATTAATCCATTCATGAGAGATCCACCCTCATGACCCAAACACCTCTCACTAGGCCTCGCCTCCCAACATTGCAACACTAAGGATCAAATTTCAACATGAGTTTTCTTGGGACAAACCAAACCATAGCAATGGTCAATAGAGCTTTGACAAAGCTACCAAGAACACACAAGGGAAAGAGACAGTCTCTCCAGTAAATGGTGCTGGGAAAACATACAGAAGAATGAAATTGGACCCTTATCTCATTCTATACCCAATATCAACTCAAAATAATGGATCAAAAATTAAAAACTTAAGATGAAACTGTAAAGTTACTGGCAGAAAACTTTTAAAAACTTCTTGATATTAGTCTAGATAATTATTTTGGAGGGGGGCATAACCCAAAAAGTAAAGGCAGCAAAAGCAAAAATAGACAAATGGAATTGCATCAAATTAAAAAGCTTGTGCACATAAAAGGAAACAATTAACAGAATGAAAAGACAATCTACAAAATCAGAAATTTTATTTACAAATCATGTGACTGACAAGGGGCTAATATCTGAAATGCTTAAGAAAATAAACTCAATAGCAAGAAAAAAACCCAGTTAAAAAACGGGCAATGAGCCGGGCTCGTTGGCTCAGCCTGTAATCCCACGCCTTTGGGAGGCCGAGGTGAGTGGATTGCCTGAGCCCACGGGTTCAAGACCTGCCTGGGCAGCGAGACCTCATCTCTACAAGAAATCAAATAATCAGCCAGGCGTGGTAGCGCATGTCTGTAATTCCGGCTACTTGGAAGGCTGAGGAGGAAGAATCGCCAGAGCCCAGCAGGTCAAGGCTGCAGTGGCTGGGAGCGGCCACTGCACTCCAGTCTGGGTGAGAGAGTGAGACTCCAACTCAAAAAAAAAAAAAAAAAAAAAAAAAAGCCAATGGACTTGAGTAGACGTTTCTCAAAAAAAGAAATACATAAGGTCAACAGGTATTCAAAAAAGTGTTCAGCATCACTAATCATCAAGGAAATGCAAATTAAAACCCCAGTGAAATATCATGTCAAACTTGTTATAGAATGGTTATTATCAAAAAAGACAAATTATAACAAGTGTTGGTAAGGATATAAACAAAAGAGACCCTTTTTGTGCACCATTTGTTGGGTATGTAAATTGATATAGTCATTATGGAAAACAGTATGGAGTTTCTTCAGAAAATTAAAAATAGAACAATTATATGTTCCAGCAATGTCACTTCAGAAACATGAAAAGATATTTGCACTTGTATACCTATTGCAGCATTATTCACAATAGCAAAGATATGGAATCAACTCAAGTGTCTGTCAATGGACAGATGATTAAAGAAAATGTGTGTGTATATATATATGCATGTGCAGCGGAATATCATTCAGCTTTAAAAAAAGAGATCTTGTCATTGGTGACAACATTGATGAAGCTGGAGGTCATTATGCCATGTGAAATAAGTCAAGTAGAGAAGGGCAAATACTACATAATCTTACTTGTATATGGATTCTAAAAAAGTCAAACTCACAGAAGCAGACAGTAGAATAGTGGTTACCAGGGGCTGGGGGTATAGTTGCAAGGGGAAGGAGGTGAGCTAAATAGGGAGATGTTGGTTCGAGGGTACAAAGTTTCAGTAACACAGGATGAATATGTTCTGGAGATCTCATATACAGCATGGTGACTATAGGTAATAATCATGTATTGTATACTTTAAATTTACTAAGATAATAGATCTTAAATGTTCTCACCATATAGAAAAAAACGATAACCATGTGAGATAATGAATATATTAATTAGCTTGTTAGTAGTAATCATTTTATAGTGTATGTGTTTATCAAACAGTATATATGTATATCAAAACACCATGTACATCTCAAATATATACAATTTTTATCAATTATATCTCAATAAAACTTCTAAAATGAGAAAAAAAAGAAAATAGAAGAGTTGGAATTCTTTCCTAATTATTTAATGAGGCTGTCATAACTCTCTTTGAAACCTAACAAAGTGTTTTTAAAAATAGAGATTAATCTCCCCAAAACACAAAATCTTTAATAAACTGTGGCAGTGCATATTTATTGCAGCATTATTTACTATAGCAAAAAAGTGGAACCACCGCGCTGCCCACTGAAAGACAACTGGATTTTTTAAAATGTGGTATATATACATGACAAAATATTATGCAGCCATAAAGAAGGACAAAATTATGAACTTCGCAGCAACTTGGACGGACTTAGAGGCTATAATACTGAGTGATCTATCACAGAAACAAAGGACCGAGTATCACATGTTCTCACTCATAAGCGGACCTTGAACAACTATCATAATACTCTAAGAAAGGGATTGGCAGTAGTAGGAAACTGCCAGTGGAAGGGGGAGCACACTTCATCAACAAGGGTACCTACATAATGAACATTTGTATACCTAATCCTGAATTGTACTCCACATCTTTAAAATTAAAAACTAAAAAAAAAAAAAAAAACCTTAAAAAATAAACTGTGGCAAATGGAAACAAGCAATATATAAAAATTTTAATTCATCATGGTCAAGTGAGGCCCATGCCTAAAAGGTTAGCATAATTTAACATTTGAAAGTCGATCATCATAATTCACCACATTAAAGGACTATAAGATAAAAATCACACGATCATCTCAAATAGATGCATTAAGAACATTTGACAAGCCGGGCTCGGTGGCTCAGCCTGTAATCCCGCGCGCTTTGGGAGGCTGAAGTGAGAGGATTGCCTGAGCCCGCAGGTTCGAGACCTGCCTGGGCAACTTGGCGAGACTTCATCTCTACAATAAATCAAAAAAATCAACCGGGCATGGCAGCGCATGCCTGTAATTCCAGCTACTCGGAAGGCTGAGGCGGAAGGATGGCCAGCGTCCAGTGGGTCAAGGCCGCGGTGGCCAGGAGCAGCCACTGCACTCCAGTCTGGGCGACAGAGTGAGACTCCAACTCAAAAAAAAAAGAACATTTGGCAAATCCAATACCAGTTTAGGCAAAAATTATCAGCAAGCTAGGAATAGAAATAACTTCCCAATCTAACAACAGCCCACTATGAAAAGCCTTCTTAGCATCATATTTATTAGCAAAATATTTAAAAATTTCCTCCTAATATCCAAAGCAAGAGTTATATTACAGATTATATTGGTTAGTCCTAGCCAGGACACTAGCATACTGTCAGTAAACATTTGGAAAATATTTTTTAAATTAAATTTTTGCAAAATAACTCAGGAATATATTTGAGAGAAGATGTGCATGATTTTCATTATTGAGAATAGTAAAATATTGCCAATAAATTGAAGAGGACCTAATAAAATATGAGATACACCATGTATATTAATTATGTCTCAATATTATTAAGATGTCAATCCTCCCCAAGTGTATAGATTTAATACAATCCTAATCAAAATCCAATTAGGCTTTCTTTTTAAAAATGACAAGATAATCTAAGATTTTGATGGGAAAAGTATAGAGTACTAGAAAAATTATTTAAAAAGAAGTACAAAGTTGAAGTCCGTGTAGTAATGTCATTAGGTTAGGAATAGCAATCAATGAAACAGAATGATCCAGAAATAGTTACATTAAGGTCAAAATGATGTTTACTCAAGTATCAACGTAATTCAATGGCAAAGACTGTCTTTTCAATCAATGATGCTGGAAGAACTGAATGTCTGTAAAAAACAAAAGCCCCAACCTCTACTTCCCACCATAAAGACAAAATATAACATACGTATTGAGTCACTGCTGTTGCTAGAGTGCCACCAGAACTGTCCCCTGAAATACAGATTCGGGTAGGATCCACTCCATATTTTGTAAGAATTTTATCCTGAAGAAAAAATGTGACTGCAGCAATGGCATCTTCAAACTGAGCAGGATATTGGTGTTGAGGAGCCAGTCTATAGCTTTAAAAAAGAACAGTAAGCTTTTATGGTTATATGAGTCCAGCTATCACTCAAATAGCAAATAGATACAATTTAGCACCAGGCCTTCTTGCTCAATCTACTAAAAATCAGGATTGCATTTTCTATTAATTCTTGATTAGAATGAAAACCAGTATAACGTTTTTCAATCTTGTACCTCAAGTCCACGGATGGCATTATGTGTGAGCGAGCATTCAGGGGCATTTATAAACTTCCCTGGGATTGTAAGCAAAATCTTTAGCTCGAGTGTATTTTGGATATGAGATTCTCTATAGCATATTCTCAATGTCACTGGAAGTCTAAATATTTTTTAAACCCTTGTATAAAAAGCACTATGATTTTTAAATTTACTTATATTTTATTTTATTTATTTTTTGTAGAGCTGAGGTTTCACTATGTTGCCTAGGATAGACTCGAACTCCTGAGCTACAGTGAGCCTCCAGCCTTAGTCTCCCAAAGTGCTAGGATTATAGACATGAGCCACTGAACCCAATTAGTACCATGAATTTTTAGAAGTAGCAGATCTCAGAGCACATTCCAGGCAAGTATCCTATTTTATCAAGGTCATTTAGATTAAAAAAAAAATTCTACAAGCTGGCAATGCATACACTTCATCATAGATAATGCCTAGCAGTTGATGCTAAATACAAATTTTGAAATATAAACACAATTTAAATAAGCAAGGGAGCTTGCTTGTTTCTGGTAAACTCATTTGTAAAGCAAATTATATACATCATTCAATGGGTGCAAATGGATTTTCCCCAAATACGCAGACTAGTAAAGCAAGAAAATATCTCTATTAGCCTGTTTTCAGAGCTAACTCTTTCCTTCTTTCTTTCTTTCTTTCATTTTAAAAATGTAGGGTACGATTTGGGATTAAGTATACAAGCAGATAACATACAGGTAAAGTTTGGGCCTCCCATTGGTCCCCACTTTGCCTGGTTTAACTTTTTATTTTTGGTCTTCAGAATGCTAAAATTTGTAAATATTTATACTTAACATTAAATGTTGGTGAAAGAATTCTTAGAATTTTATTATAAGCTGTCTAAATAATTCTAAAGCATAATTTAGACATAAGTATGTACAAAAGGTGTTAGTATCTTTACTTAGAATGTAGCAGATTTAGACATTTTAGTAAAAGAACAACACAAATTGTAAGGATTGGATAGAATGTATGAGATAGGCACAAACTTATATCATTATATTAAGATAGATTTAAAGTAAGATTTAGATTACTTCAAAGGCTATCGTGGTAAAAAAAAAAAAACAAAAAACAACCATGAAGTTCTTTTAGGTAACGTAAATAAGCATGAGGATGATGATAGAAACACTTTTTAGATGATCAAATTTTTTTTTTTTTTTTTTTTTTTTTTTTGAGTTGGAGTCTCACTCTGTCGCCCAGACTGGAGTGCAGTGGCCACTCCCGACCACTGCAGCCTCAACCTACTGGGCTCCGGCGATCCTTCCACCTCAGCCTTCCAAGTAGCTGGAACTACAGGCGTACGCTACCACACCCAGCTGATTTTTTTTTTTTAATTTATTGTAGAGATGAGGTCTCGCCAAGTTGCCCAGGTGGATCTCGAACCCGCGGGCTCCATCAATTCACTCACCTCAGCCTCCCAAGGAGTGGGATTACAGGCTGAGCCACCGAGCCTGGCTCTAGATGATCAAATTTTTACTTAAGTTTTCTCTCTATACTTCTATAGTTGCCTAGGTTATTAAAAAAGAAAAAAAAGGGGAAAAAAAGCCATGTCACCAAGTCCTGTAGGATTTATTGGATTAAAAGTCTTTATTTTTTTGTTACTATAAACTAGGGAAAAGAGGGAAGGAAAAAAAAATTTCCCCCAGAGGACATTCATTCTGGATGTCAGAAATCCAGAATACAGTATACCAATATGAGTGAAAAAAAAATACTGAACTGTTCTAAGACATTCTAATATGTTTCTGCAAAATCCAGACTGTAAATTCACTCTTCCTCAGAATGGCTTAAAATTATTAGCTGGTCTCAACTTTTACTGCCTACATCAATCCAAACAAAAAATATTCTGAAATTAAACTTATTTTACCTGCTCAAATACAATCCAATATCCCGAATGCATAATGGTTGATTTACTTCATCCTGTCCTGCTATGTTACTTGGGCTACAACTAGGGTCTTATAAGGCCTGAATTATGTGTCTAGAGCAACAGTGTTTCTAAAAATGCTCATCCTGGGTTGTATCTCAGAGATTGCCAAAGTCACAAGAAAGTAATGGAACACTGAACCCCTTGGGGAGCAGTCTACTTTTCAATGGTGGTAAGTAAAATATATTAATTTTCTAAAATTGCATTTGAGACATAGATGATTTGATTTGGAAATCAAGCCTCTACATGGTAAAGGCAAAAATCATAGCAGTCAGAGAAAATTATTCTCTTACTCCACGCTTACAACAACAGCATCAAGTTTGGTTGCAGTCCATCTATTCAGGTGATCTATAGACGTTAGCTCTGAAATGAAGAAATAAACATCAAAGTACTTTCTGTAATTAAAAAGTAACAGAAACAGTTATAGCTATGAATGTGGAAAGAACTGTGGTTCGAGAATGTCACATAGAAGTTTTTATTTCCCACCTAGTTTTCATGTAAACAGATGTCAATCCACATAACACACGCTGCTCCCCCAGTCTTTTCAGTCACTCTCTCCAAGGGTAAAAAGATGACTTTGTCAATTGGTATTTTGGGGAAGATTATCTAGTATTAGCCCATTCTTACTTTTTATTGCTCTCTGCAATCTGTACACAATGATCCTTGCAAGGACTCTTTGTGTCTTGGTGCATTCTACTCAACTTTGCTTCTCCAGGCAACAAGATTCATGGGGAGGAGGTATGTGACTGGTCAGTAGGGCCAGCCACAACAGCTGGTTAATCTCGCTAACTTAAGAGTGAAACAGCTACAACATCTAAACATGCATTCACCAAAGCCTTCATTAGAAATAATGATAGAGTTTTGACTTTCATTTGCATGAATTCTGTATATTTCAATTGGTTTAGAAGTCATGGGAGAAAATAATACTGACTCTCTAAAACAATGCTTAATAACATAGCTTCTCAAAACCTCTGTTTTCTTTGAATATGCAATGTTATGAAATGATCCAAAAACATCGGCATTAAGACAGAATCTAAGGACCAGTAACTAGATTTTGAGAAATCCTCTGGCAAGCTAGCATATGGACTTAGATGTATATGAGTTTGGATATGCTTGGCACACAAGTCATTGACTTCCCCCCAATACACACTCACACACACACACACACACACACACACACACACACACACACACCCCTTTCCCAAGTACTCACAAAAATCCTATTTACCAGCACCCTGAGCGCACAACACCTTGGAAAATTCCGTAATATCTGCTACTGCTTTATTTACCACAAGATCCTTGAAAAATCAGAGAATTCTAGAGTTGTGATCAAATTCCAGAGTTTTCTAAGGCTTCTCTTGCACATTAACAAAACATCAAATTAAAACACTGTTTAAATACAGGGTGTGTGACAACCTGGAAAAACAGAAAAGTAAATCACCCAGTCTTTTAGGTGGAAAAAATAATGTTTTCATTAAAGATTGAGTTGATAATGTGCAAGAAAAGGCAATGCATGGATGAAGACTCAAAGGTACATGATCTAAGAATTTTCTGACCTTCACCTTGTTAACAAAAGACAGTGAGATCTGCAGAAGAAAAAGAGAGAGCTTTATTTTTGATCAAACACAATCTGTGGATTGGGGAATTACAGCTTCATAAAATAAAAGTGCTCCAGAGAACACAGAGGGTCTCTGGCTAAAATATGGGAAGTTGAGGAAGGAGGTTGCTTGAACCTAGAAGTTCAAGGCTGCAATGAACTATGATTGTACCACTGCACTTCAGCCTGGGTGACATAGCAAGACCTTGTCTCTAAATAATAAAATAATTTTTTAAATAATTTTCTTTTTTTTTAAGTATGAAAGATCTTGTCTCAGTCCTCAATCAGGTCTGTATATTCAGTCCCAATTGGTTGAAAACAGCTGAGTCCTGATTAAATAGTTTTCAAGACCCAAACCAAAAGTCTGTTGGATGCCCCTTCAGGCGGCTGGTGGGAGTAGTTTTCCAGCCAAAACGTCTCTGCTCAGGTTGCAGGAACCTTAGTTCAGAGGTGCAAACAGGATGTGTGCCTGGAGCTGTCCTTCCCAGAAAGAACAAAACAAAAACAAAAAACTACCTTCTCTCACTCATCAGGACCCCTGGGTTCCTATTATCTTCATCTGGGTGTCCTTATCTGCCACGCAGAGCCCATCTCATCTGGAGACTTTGGGATTTTATTTGTAGTTTTATTTCACAAACTTTAAAGCTCCTCAATAATACATTTTAAGCCTATGTCTTAATTGTTATCTCCCAATGCTTAAGTTATCTTACCACCAAAGTCAAATTAAGTTTTTTGTTTCCTATTCTTATCTTAAACTATTTTTACTCACACAATGTCTATTGATATAATCTGATCATGTTTTTCTCTATTTCACGCCTGTTAATTGCATTTATAGTGCTTGTAGAATCTAGGTAGAAACAAGAAAAACAGCCGGACTCGGTGGCTCAGCCTGTAATCCCCAGCCTTTGGAGGCTGAAGTGAGTGGATTGCCTGAGTCCACGGGTTCGAGACCCGCCTGGGCAACTTGGTGAGACCTCATCTCTACAATAAATCAAAAAAAAAAAAAAAAAATTAGCTGGGTATGGTAGCGCGCACCTGTAGTTCCAGCTACTTGGAAGACTGAGGCAGAAGGATCGCCGGAGCCCAGCAGGTCGAGGCTGCGGTGGCCGGGAGGGGCCACTGCACTCCAGTCTGGGTGACAGAGTGAGACTCCAACTCAAAAAAAAAAAAAAAAGAAAAACAAGAACCACAGAAGTATGTAAAAACATGTACTAGAGTGACATTTTCTTGTATTTCTTAGTTCTCAAAGCAACTTTGGCATGTTTTGGGGGGAAAAAAGGAAAAGCCTAGAAAAAAAAGAAAACTGAAACTTGCAAATACCAGAAAATATTTATAGTGTCTACTTTTGATTGATCAAAAATAGACTTTTTTTGCAATTTATATATATATGTCTTGGGAGACCTGAAAACAAGTAATACACAACTATAAAAGTAAGACACAGGGGAAAAAAACACATCTGGAATTTATCTGAGCAGAACATAGAAATGTTGTATCCTGAGTAATAATTCTCACATGTTTAGGAATTGCTGATCACAATCATTGTCCATTTTGGTAAAAGGGATAGCAATATAATAATCAGGAACATTTCTTGTTATTTTTCAAGCAAAAAGATATTTTCTCATTTGTGGTATGTCTCTTGTGCTTACTGAAATCCTAGGTAATATGTATATGAACATTTGAATATTTCCTAGACCTTATGAAAACCTTAGTGGAATTAATGCATCACTGATGAAAAATGAGGCCAAATTGGTATTTAATTTATCTTATCAAGGAAGCAGGTTATTCTGACCATGTAATGAATTTACTTAACCTTCTAAAATAGAAAGCACCACTATGAAAAAATACATATATATATGACCATCCTAATGCCTGATACAAATTAAATTATAATAGATAAAATCTAGTTTACTAAAAACATTAAGGAGATGAAAATACATAAGAGAAAAGTACTAGGAGAATATTTTGGATAATAATAATCCCCGTAGAGCTCATCAGAAATCTCTGTCAGTTATTTTTTTAATTTTTTTAGAGTCAGAGTCTCACTGTCTCCAATGCTGAAGTGTAGTGGTACAATCACTGCAGTCTCGACCTTCTGGAATCAAGTGATCTAACTACCTCAGCTTCCTGAGTAGCTGGGTCTGCACGTGCACACCACCATACCCAGATAATTTTTTTGCCTTTTTGTAGAGACAAAGTCTCACTACATTGCCTAGCCTGGCCATTCTGTGTTTTGTTTTTGCTTTTTCCTTCAAAAACATATTTGTGGAATATTCACTGAATGTGAAGTACCTGAAAAGTAAGGAACCTGGACTTCATGGGAAGAGTATTATAACGATTCCATTTTATATTTTCCTTTTAGAGTCAAGACTAGGAATTGCATTCTAAACTTTATCACTACTGGTATTATTATCAATAACTGCAAAATTGATCTTGGAACAAACCAATGGCGTATGCTTCTGATTTGCTGATTAAAACATCTGGATCATTTTAGTGTTTCTGCCCCTGAATATATTCAGATCCCAAAGAAAAAAGTGTTCTATTTGATTGTTTATGCCCTATTTTCATTTGATTTATGTTCAATCAATATTAAAGCTAAGGAGAATAAAATGTTTACCAAAACAAGACAAAACAACATAATTCAAAATCACCATTATATTATTTGACAAATATATGTCTATGTCTATCTCTCTATTAAGTAACTAACACTTATACCTATACTTACCATATCCATATAAGTATGCATACGTATGTATACATAAGTATGAGTACATATTTATAAAAATATCTTAAATCAAAAACATATAACCAGTTATACTTTTTCCTTGTATGATGATGAACTTACTGAAACTTCCAAGACAAAAAGCACCACCATGCATATATATTACAGCTCGTCTTAGGGTTTCTGTCTTTCCCTTTGGCAGGTACAAACGTACTGGAATGTTAGCAAAAGTTGTATCAGTCACTGTGACGTATTCATCTGAAAGTGGTTCAGTATAATCCAGCCTTATTATCATAGAAATAAAATCTTCAAATCTCATGATACCCATATTTTCGAAACCCAGAGCCTGGATAAACAAAACAAAATTAAACATTTGGTTCTTTAAATAACACCAAATGCATATAAAGAGATAGTCAAACAAAAAGGAATATAACATAAGTAAACAAATTGAATGTTTATAAACAACAGTTCTAAATAATACTGTAAAGGTCTCAGCTATTCAGCATTTTATTTTATTTTATTTTATTTTATTTTTGAGTTGGAGTCTCACTCTGTCACCCAGACTGGAGTGCAGTGACCGCTCCTGGCCACCACAGCCTCAACCTGCTGGGCGATCCTTCCGCCTCAGCCTTCCAAATAGCCGGAATTACAGGCATGTGCTACCACACCCGGCTGATTTTTTTGATTTACTGTAGAGATGAGGTCTCGCTGCCCAGGCGGGTCTCGAACCCGCGGGCTCAGGCAATCCACTCACTTCAGCCTCCCAAAGGCGCGGGATTACAGGCTGAGCCACCGGGCCCGGCTTATTCAGCATTTTAGATTAAATGCTCTCTTATTCAAAACCCATTAATTTACTGGAAGTTTTTTTAATGCCTGGTATTCTTTTTTAAAATTTTTTATAATTTCTTTTTTATTTTGAAGATGTGGGGTACAAATCAGGATTGGATACATAAGTGGTCTACTTGCAGGTGAAGTTTGGGCCTCCCATTGGACCTCATTTTGCCTGCATTGGGATCATGCACCCTTATTGATGTTGTGTTGTCCCCCTGCCCCACCACAGTGTCCTGCTACTGCTAATCCCTCTATTGTAGTATAATGGTAGGTGTTCAGAGTCCACTTATGAGTGAGAACATTGGCACTCAGTTTTTTGTTTCTGTGATAGACCAGAATATGAAAGACCCTAGATCCATCCAAGTTGCCAGAAAGTACATAATTTTGTCCTTCTTTATGACTACATAATATACCATCATGTATATATGCCACATTATTTTCATCCACTCCACTTTGTTTTTGCTATTGTGACTAGTGCTATAATAAACATGCAATGCAGGTGTCTTTTTTGTCGAATGATTTGAGTTCCTCTGGGTATATTTCCAAAAGGGAGATTGCTGGATCATACGGAGATCAGTTTCTAGTTCTTTTAGAGATCGCCAAATTGTTTTCTATAGAGGTTGCACTAGTTTGTACTCCCATCAACAGTGGAGAAGCATTTCCTTTTCTCCACATTCTCACCAGCAGCTGTTTTTTTGGTTTGTTTTATTAATGACAGTCATTCTTACTGGAGTTAGGTAGTATCTCAATGTGGTGTTGATTTGCATTTCCCTAATGATTAGTGAAGTTGATCATTTTTTCATGTGTCAGCTGCTCATATGTCTTCTGTTGAGAAGTGTCTGTTTTATTTTTTATCATTTTTTAATGGGTCTATTTGTTTTTCTCCTTTTGGCATGTTTGAGTTCCTTGTAGATCCTGGATTTTAGGCCTTTGTCAGACATACAGTTGTCAAATATTTTTTCCCATTATGTGGGCTGTCTCTCTCTCTTCTTTCTTTATGGTTTCTCTGGCTTTTCTTTTTTGTCTCACTCTGTCACCCAGACTGGAGTGCAGTGGCCGCTCCCGGCCACCGCAGCCTCGACCTGCTGGGCTCCAGCGATCCTTCCACCTCAGCCTTCGAGTAGCTGGAATTACAGGCACACGCTACCACACCCGGCTGATTTTTTGATTTATTGTAGAGATGAGGTCTTGCTGCCCAGGTGGGTCTCGAACCCGCGGGCTCAGGCAATCCACTCACCTCAGCCTCCCAAAGGCGCGGGATTACGGGCTGAGCCACTGATCCCAGCTTTTCTCTGGCTTTTCAAAAGCTTTTCAGTTTGACGAGGTCCCACCTGTCTGTTTTATCTCTTATGACATGAGCACTTGGGGTTTTGATCAGGAATTGGTTGTCAGATCCAATTTCCATACGTGTGTCTCCTGCATTTCTAAGATTCTTATAGTTTGAGGTTTTACATTTAGGTTTTTGATCCATTTAGAGTTGATTTTTGTGTACTGTGATAGGGAGGGATCCTGTTTCATTCCTCTGCTTGTGATCAGTCAGTTTTCCCAGCACCATTTACTGAATAGGTTCTCCTCTTAGTGGTTGTTAATGGAAGTTTTGTCGAAGATGAATTGTTTGAGAAATTGAGATTTTGCTTCTAAAATCTCTATCCTGTTGCATTGATCTATAAGCCTGTCCTTGTGGCAATACTAGGCTGTAATAATAATAACAAATCTCTCAGTGGACTGCAGTAGGGTTTAAACAGATTAGTACTTTCAATTAAAGTAGAAGAGTGCCCAGTATGTGTGTATATTCAGTAAATCTTGTCTTATGATTAACTATTTTTCACTAATAAGAATTCTTGAGTATTTTTATACTAATTGAATATAATCAAGTAGAATATACCTTAAAGTGAGTTTTTGGTAGATGACTAAATGTTAACTTTTCATTTGTGAATTGGTTTTTAAAAATTAGATTTTTCCTTGTTTCTCATTTCTTGTATTTTATGCTTTTGAATAGATCCTTAAATATTTTTTAAAATCATAACAACTACAATTTTAGAGATTACTTTTGGCTCTTCTAGCATAATATTTAATTCTCAGAACAATCCTGCAAGGTATTTATTATTAATATCTCTTGTGTTAAAATACATTTTTATATATTTCATAATATATTATTATATTTTGTATGTAAAAAGTGTACAATGAAGGGTTAAGAAGATTTTCAGAATTGGACATAATTTTATTTTTTATTTTAGTTAAACTCTCACGCCATAGTCCAGGTTGGAGTGCAGTGGTACATTCATGGCCACCCCAGCATCGATCTACTGGGCTCAGGTGATACTTTCACCTCAGCCTGACAAGTAGCCGGAACTACAGACTCATGCTGCCAACCTCGGCTAATTTTTTTGGTTTATTGTAGAGATGAGGTCTCGCCTAGTTGCTCAGGCTATTCTCGAACCCGTGGTCTCAGGCAATGCCCTCACCTCAGCCTCCCAAAGTGTTGGGATTACAGGCTTGAGCCATCGTGCCCGGCCCATAATTCTTTTTTTTTTTAAACCAAACTCTGCCTTTTGATGTAACATGTGATTACAAAGTAATGCATTTATTTTTCAAGACCACTTAATTCCCTTTCATATGTTAAAAAATTAATTATTCTTACTGATATCACAAGTTTGAGTTACAAAATTTATATCTGACAAGAATAAAATTATTTTTCCTAAAACTCCCAATGGCTGTTAAATTTTCTAGAATAATCTTTAAATAATTACATGTGTACTCTTATAATCTTTTTTAAAATAAAGAATAACCCATACACTATTTCAAATACATAAAGTACATAATCTTAGTATAGATGGAGAATAATGAGAATAATTTGAAGCCGAGAAAATAAAACAATAAAAGTAAAATGTTTTAGCTGGGTGTTCTACTAATGTTGCAATTTTGATGATAACATTAGTTGAGTTTTAAATACATATGAGATAATCAAGGAAGATAACATAGTTTCTCTGTGGAGCTGACACTTGTTTACCCACAAAGTCCTTCATTTTATAATAAGACAAGAAGTAAGAACATTGGAGAAAAAGACAGTTATGAAGAAGGTGAACCTTTAGAAGTAATTAGAGGGAAAAATATAAGGACTTAGCAGACATCAGAAGGAGCTGGGTACTGTTTCACAGATCTGTTGTCTGCTGCATAAAGCACCATAGGCAGCCTCTTCCCTTATACCATGGATTGCTCCCTCTTTTCTGATCATCTGCTGTCTTTGTCTACTTTTTTTAGCCTCCTACTGCTACTATTATCAAAGAACTTTTCTGGAAGCTACTTGGTTCGACAGAAGGAGTACAGGTTTTGAATACAGGTCTAGGTTCAAATTCTAAAGTTAATACTTTTTACCTGCATGTGCTCTTCTGAATCTGCTTGTCTTCCTACGTAAACTGATACAAATAATTGCAGAATAGTAGGAAATGAGTGGAAGTATATGCTATTAAAAGTCTATAAATTATAAGAGCAAAAAATGTTAGTTTCTCACCATATCTCCCCCTTATGAAGGAGTTATTTTTGCATAAATTCAATGTGTATATTCCAAGTCAGACAATGCCTGAAACCCGTAATTAATAATTGAAAATGGGCAATGAATACCACTGCATAGTAAGAGTTGTAAAAAATAACATCAAACAAGTACAAACATCAATAAGAACATCTGAACCATTAAAAAATTCAAATTTAAGTAAAGTTATCAAATAAACTGTGAAGCCTTTCCCTTCACCAATACCATTTCTTATATGCATATCACAGCAAATGGGTCTTTACATTTAGACATAAACTCCTGAAGCAAGAATTCTGTCTCACTCTTTTTTGCACAAATGTAGTGTTTCACTTACTTAATGTTATTTAGTTAATTTACTCAAGCAAGCAATGGTTCTTTAAAAATGGAGACACTACTACTATTAATTAAAAAGTTCATCAGCACTCATTTTTAGTCGATAAAGCATTCCAATCCCCAGCAGAAAAAAAAAAAGGTTAATCTTACCAAAAATGTCAAAGTTTTAGTAACTGAATCCAAGGCCATTATTTTCCACCTTTCTGCAATGTTGTCCGGTATGGGTGTGTAAATATGAGAGACAAAAAGAGCACAGAAAAGCCCCAAGCAGAGGGTTTTGATTGACATGATGTTTCTTTTTTAGCTTTTCAGAACTGAAAGTAAAATGTTTTTATAAATACTGAATGTAGCAGAGCAAATGTGAACCAGTAACTTTCTCAGGAGATATGATCATCATTACAGCATCAGTAGCAAGTTGTTTTGCAAATACACAGACCCTGAAATAGATGTCATAATTTGTCAGATTATGCATGCATTATTAACATACAATTTAAAACTCCTACAAGGTTTCTTCATCCTGTGAAACCTTTATCAGCCTCAAGCAACTTTATTACTGTGACATAAATCAGAGCCTCAATGAAAGCAAGGAATAAGCCCTGAAGTAAATTTTTGTGGTTGGGTGGTTGTAATATTTTCTAACAGAATTTTTTTTTTTTTTTTAGAGGATTACTGAATTTGATGATCAACTTTATGTGTTACTTGACTGGGCCAATAATTCCCAGAGTTGATTTTCTAAAAAATTATTTCTTGGTGTCTTTAAGAGTATTTCTGGAAGAGATTAGCATTTGAATAGTAAACTGAATAAGATAACTCTTTCAGTTGTGGGTTGGCATCATCCAAGCCATGGAGGGCCTGAAGTTAGCAAAAATGTGGAGGAAGGGTGAATTCACTTTCTCTTCTTGAGCTGGGACATTGTCACTATTTAACTCATATTAGTGCTTCCTCAACCTCTATTTCCTTGTCCTGTCCCTAGTTTTTCATGATTGATCAACATATTTTGAGACAGTCTCTATCCAATTTCTGTTTCTGTGTCCTGAATAGAAAAGGCCACATATCCTGAACCATTTGACAACCTTACTTCTGCTTTAAGTCTGGTGAACCCAATAACGTAACTCCTGAGCTCTCACACTTATCCTCATGTTTATTTCAAATTAACCAATCCCACGCTGTCACAGGAAACCCACCTAAATTGTCCTGGAACCTTGCACTCATAGGTCCCTCCCCGTCTCTCTCTTGCTTTGCACCCTCTGGTTGAGAGCCAGTTTCCTTGACTGCCTCCTATTGGCCCTACAAGGCATGTTGTCCTCCTTCTTCTGTAACCTGTAGGTAATAAACATCATCTTTTTGATATTCTGGTCTAAGTGTCCCTCATTGTGCTATACCACACTTCACTTTATAAATCACAAGCATCCATCTTCTCTTGCCCTTGGACATCGGAGTTCATAGTTCTTAGACTCTGGGATTTACACCCGTTCTCAGGTCCTGAGACTCAAATTGGTGGTTACATCATTGCCTTCCCTGATTTTCAGGCCTTCTGTCTCAGGCTGAATTACACTGCTGGCATTCCTGGTTCTCCAATTTATATATACCATATTGTGGAACTTCTCAGCCTCAATAATTGTGAGAGTCAATTTGCATTTTATTTACATATGTATATAGCTAAAATATATATTTTATATCTGTATGTATCATTATCTGTCGATCTATCATCTCTTACTGGTTCTGTTCTTTAGAGGACACTGACTAATATACATAGTGACTATGTTCATGTGGTTAAGTGGTAAATCTTTAAAACTAAACCATACCAAGAATTTAGCCTTGGGTGGTAGGAAACATCAAGTGCAAACATTAAACTTGTGCCTGCTGCAGCCTGAAAGCCTGAGAGAGATCCTGTTCATATTAGAGCTGATCACCTTGCAATCTTCAGAGACAGAAGGAATTGGACAGTTTCTCTTTGTTGTGTCAGGACCTACTAAACAGTAATTACAGGATTGGTATTTAGAGGAAATAATTTTTAGTGATAGGATTTACTAAACCCAATACAAGTATATACTGGACCTCTTGAATGCATAAGTATTCATTCTAAAGCTTATCATGAACTAAGTAATTAAAATGCTTATTTATTTATTTATTTAGAATCGGGTCTCACTCTGTTTCCCAGGTTGTAGTGCAGTGGCCCAATCACAGCTCACCTGGCCTCAGGCTAATCTCCCACTTCAACCTTCTGAATAGCTAGGACCACAGGTGGGCAACACCATGCCTGGTTAATTTTTCAATTTTTTGCAGAGGCAAGGTCTCACTATGTTACCCAGGCTGGTTTTGAACTCCTGGACTCGAGTGATCCTCCTGCTTCTGCCTCCCAGAATGCTGGAATTACCAGCAAAATGTTTATTTTTTAATCTATAATACAGTTTTTCCCAAATCTCATAGCCATAACTTAATATAAGCTATCACTTAAACATTTAAAGTAAAATGCTATTAAAAGTGAAAGAGATGCTATTAATTATAATGCATATAAACTGAAATTGTCCTGGACAAATTGAGACTCATGATCTTACTCTAATTATAAAACTTTTATTAAATGCAACTAATTTGTATGCCTCCCTTTTTAAATAGACTGTAAGATTATTGAAAAAAACCCTTTTTTTAAATACTTGTAACTCCTAAGTGTTCAATGCTTTGCATGTAGAGGTGCCTAATAAAATAAATTAAGGTTGGCCTAGTTAATTGGTTTGTAATGTACTAGTCTTCTTGGATGGAGGAACTCTCAAATTCACCAACATCAATGGTATTTGGAGACTAAAATTAGGAGTGGCCGGTGCTGGTGAAAACCGAGAGACTAGAACTAAGGTGAAAAGTACAAGGTCTCTGTCTTTGCACCATATTACACATACTCATACCCACAGAAAGAGGTGTTGCAGAAGGAAGAGAAGCAATGATTGCTTTGTTTATTTTTGGCTTGCGGTTTGTGAGGTTCTGAAACACCATGCAAACCACTAAGGGCAGTGTGCTGATTTCAGTTTTCCACAAGTTTCATCACACAGTGTCATAATCAATAGACTAGTATCCATGGAGTCTTGAATGCCTCTTCTCATACCTTGGTTCAGCTCAGGTCAGACAATCCCAAACACCTTTACAATAAGTCATATTTTCCCCATTTCCTCCAAGATAAAAACCAAATACCTCAGTAGGAGATTGTATGTTTCCAATCATCTTCACAGCGTTCCTCCTTTTATCATGTAATCCAATTGATGTCAAGTGCTGAAAATGACCCTATAACAACAAACTATACAAACTTTCTGGAGTAGTCATCACACCTCTCTCCTAAAAGAAGTCCCTTTAATTTCTCTCTGCTCTTGTCTCCTTGTCAAACATTTTTTCTGCTTTCAATTTTCAGCTTAATCCTTTCTATGTTGGTTTTTGTGATCCCTAACCGGTAGGGTTAATCAATTTCTCTTTCTTATGCCTTCCTAAAAAAGTACAATTTTACACCATAGTCTCAGTAACACCAAACTGAATGTACACAGTGGGCCTGAATCTAATTATCTTCGTAATATGTGCAAAACACATAGACACAAATATTTCTTTAAAATCCTGCTATGAACTGAATATTTGTGCTCCTACCCCAAATTTATATTTGGAAATTCTAATTTCCAATATGATGTTAGTGGGAGTTGGAACCTTTGGGAGGTGATTAGACCATACAGATAGTGCCCTCATTGATGGGATTAGTGCCCTAATAAAAAAGACTGCAGAGAACTCCCTTACCCTTTCTGCCATGCGACATGACTTACAATAACAAGATGGCTATCTATGAACCCAGGAATCAGGTCCTCACCAAACACTGAATTTTCCAGCACCTTCATCTTGGACTACTCAGTCTCTAGAATTGTGAAAAATAAATGTTTGTTGTTTAAGCCACTAGGTCTATGATATTTTGTTATAAAAGCCTGACCAAACTGAGACAAACCCCAAACAACATTGATATTATTACATTATATTATATAAGGGAGTTAGGAATTATAACTAAAACATATATGTTGTTTATACACAACAAAAATATTATGTTTTGGAATATTGTTATACACAATATATATAATTCATTAGGACTTACCAGCTTACACTTATTTCTTTTTTTGTGTGTCTCTGTGCTATTGGCTGAAATTATTTCACTTCTACCTGAAGAACACCCTTTAATACTTATTTTTTTGTGGATGTACTAGTGAAAAATTATCTTTATTTTTATATGAATGAAACTATCTTTATATCATCTTCATTCTTGAAGACTATATGGCAAGGAGTGTAGAATTCTTTGTTGGTAGTTATTTTTTCAGCAGCTTGATATAATTTTATTATTTTGTGACTATTTTTTTTTCCTTTGTGAAGTCAATTCACCTATAATTATCATTTCTTTGAAGGTTATCTAATTTTTTTGCCTGTGCACTGTATTGTTACTATCTTTGGATTTCAGGAGTTACACTACCATGTATATAGCAGGCCATTTTTATTTAACACTGTGAGATGAATTTTATCAGTTTTCAAAATTATTAAATCAAACATTTAGGTAAAATTTACAGTGTAACTCTACAGTGTATATTTTCACACATATACACTTTCAAAATTTTGTATTTCAATAAAATATATAACACAAATTTACCACCTCAGAAAGTTTTCTCGGGATACTTTGCAGTTAATTTCTCCTGATGTCTGTCTTCATGTTAGCAGTGATCTGCTTTTTTAACCTTCCAGTAGATTAGTTTTGCCTATTATAGAGTTTAGTATAAACAAAATCATACAATTTGACTTATATTTGTCAGACTCCTTTTGCTCAACATAAATGTTTTGGACAGCCATCCATATTTTGGAATATAATGCAATTTCATTTCTTTTCATTATTGATTAGTATGCTATTTTATGCATAGACTACAATTTATTTATCCTTAATCTCTTAATTTATCATTTCCCTCAGCTTATGGTACTATTATAGATAACACTAATGTTCATATTTGTTCATTTTCTGGGATAAACAAGATATAGTTTTAAGTCATACACAAAACAATAATATTACAACTTTTTGTACTGGGGAAATAGTCATAAATATTAAATTTGAGAAAGAATGAAATCAGTTTTATCCCTTACTATCTCATAAATATGATCTTTTCTCACCATCACTTAGCACTGGTGACTTGCAAGATATGTACTACAATAAAATAAAATCTTCAGAAGCATCAGAGATAAACCTACAAAGCTGCAAAATATATTAATCTATATTATTTTTTTAAGAAGGC